AATCCTGCTCCCTTTTAGGGCTCCCCGTGGTCCGTGGAATAAAATCCAAATTCCTGAGCCTCACAAATACTCCCCTCCCTCCCGTGCCAGCCTCTACTGACAATTTCAGCTCCATCTCCTCCCATGCCCTCTCCCACAATTTATGTATCAAACTGCTTCTGGTTCCTCTAACTAAACCTGCTGTGCTCATTCCCATGCCACAACTTGTTCTAGTTCTACCTGGAATACTCTTCCCTTCTTTCATTTGGTTATTCCTATTTCTCAAGCCTTGGATTTGGCTTTATGGCTTCCAGAAAGCCACTGGCTAGCTGCCTTTAGGCTAGGCTCAATGCATCCCACCCCCAAGGGTTCCTATAGCTCTGGGTATATCTCTTTTATGGCACTTTACTAAGATATTGAAATAGTCAGTTTATATGTCTATCTGTAGATTCCCCAGAAGGCAAGGGCTCTGTAGTTCATCTCCTCAGTTCCTAGAACCCGATATAATGCCCGTCTCATGGAAAGTGCTCACGTCTTAAAGTTGTAATTCTGAAAGGCTCAGTCCTTGGTCCTAGTCTCTGTGTACAATCACTTGCTTGGCAAACTGTCCAGTCTTGTGGCTTTAATATTATCTATATGCCAGTGACTTTTAAGGTTTTCTCTCTAGCCTAGTCTTCTTTCCCAAATTCCAAACTCACATATTCAACTACCTACTTGCCACCTTGAGACACTAAGATGTCTAATAGACACTGCAAACTCGGAACTGAAGTCCTGATTGCTCCAGCTCTGCTCCACCTGAAGCTTCCCCACCTTTGTTGGTGGCAACTTCACCCTCCCAGTGGCTCGGGGAACAGCCTTGGGACACCCTTAATTCCTTTCTTTCTCTTGTATGCCATGTGTTAGGAAATCCTGTTGGCTCTATCTTTAACATATATTCAGAATCCAACCACTTCTTGACCCTTTCTCTGCCATATATGGCCAGAGTCACTGCTGTCTCTCACCTGGGCCACTGCAATGGCCTCATAATTGGCCTCCCTGTTTTTGCCTTGCCTGCCTATGTCCTATTCACAACACAGTAGCTACAACGAGGCTTTCCAAATAAAGTTAAATTTTTATCACTTGTCTTCTCAAAGCTCTGCAGTGGCTTTCTATTTCATTCAGAGTAAACACCTCAGTCCTTATAACGGCTCTTGTAATGCACTCGGTGGTCAGGTCTCTCTTTATTTCTCCAAACTAAGTCTTGTTACTTTTACCCCTTGCTCACTCTACTCCAGCCTCCTTGCTCCTGCGTGTATATGCCAGGTATACAATTCCCTTGATCTGGAACTCTCTTCCTCGAGGTATCTTCCTCCGTGTCTACATTCAAATCTCGTCTTCTAATTAAGAACAACCCTTCTACCCTGTTTAATATTGAAAGCTCTTCCACTTTATGTTCCTGGAATATACCATCTCCCTTCCTTGCTTTATTCTTTCTTTTTCCATAGTGCTTGTGGTAGATTATATTATCCAAAGATTGTATTTTGCAATACTTCCTGTTCTGCATGCTCTTCTAGAACCTGGCAACTCCTCCTCCTCCTCCTCAAGAGATGGAGTCTAATTTCCCTCCCCTAGAAGGTGGCAGTTTTAACTTGCTTATCAGCAACAGAATGGGAGGAATGATGTAGTGGGATGTCCAAGTCTAAGGCCACAAAGGTTATGCACTTTTCACCTTGTTAACTGGGAGGCTCGCCTTTGAAGCTCTGAGCCACCATGTAAAAAGTCCAACTATCCTGAGGCTACCATGCTGTGAGGAAGCTCAGGCCACCTGAAGAGGCTATGTGCAGGTGTTCCAGTGGACAATCCCAGCTGAGTTTCCTGACTGACAGTCTGCATCGATCACTAGTCATGTGAGTAAAGATACGTTCAGATGATTTCAGCCCCCAGCTTGGAGCCTTCCCAGTCAAGGCTATAGACAAGATGGAGAGGAGACAGAGTGTCCATTTGTGCCCATATAAATTCCTGCTACACAGAAGCTGTGAGTGCAATAAATTAGTTGTTTTATGTTGCTAAGATCTGGGGTAGTTTTGTAACACAGCAAACAGCATTTTTCACTGTCTCACATAATACATGATATAATTTGCTTATTTATAAGCCTATCATTTATTTCCTATTTCCCCTGCTAGAACACAAGCTTCACGAGGGCATGAATCTTTGCCTGTTCTGTTCATTGTTGTATCCCCAATGCCTAAACAATCCATGGCAATAGTAAACACTCACTAAATATTTACTGAACATATTACAACTGAACTGAATCTTAGAAGACACAGCTTGCCATAGCTGAGAGGTCCCTTAGATGTCAACTTGTCAAACCCACTCATTTGTATGAAAAACCTGAGCAGGAAAGGGAAGTGACAGGCAACGAACAGCTCATGGCAGGTTGGTATGAGAGTAGAACTGGAGGCTCAGCAAGCTTATGTCTTTAATAGGACATCGAGTCTTCAAGCAGATCCATGACTTTTATGCTCAGGATGAAGATTCTGAGTATCACAGGAGCCTGGATGATCAAAGCAATATCCAGTTTGATTCTAGGAAAGTGAATGAGCACATGTGGAAAGACTTTCATTAAGTAACCAATTTCTAATTAACCCTCAGTTAATCAGAAAATGCTATTAACTAGAAGCTAATCATTCCAGCTAGCTGATTAATATAATTTGAACTAATTGAGGGAAAGGCTAGTCGAGTGAGAGAAATTCCTGGTTAAGTTTGAAATGATGGAATAACATGTATTATTTACTCTCTCATTGTGAAAGCAGTTCATTTCCCTGCTAGAAAGTTAGGAAAATGCAAAAAAGTACAAAGAAGAAATTTTAAAAAGCAATCCATCATACAGGGATGGATGCTTTTAAAGTAAATATCATTCTGGAAGAAAATGCACCAAAGTAGTGAAATACATTTGTATTTCTGTCTTTAAATTTTAGATCGCAAGTTCTTAGAACATGTGTTTCTCAGCCACATATCACTCATAATGCTATTTGAAACTTTAGAACAAATTATTATGACTGATGACTTATTAGACGATCATCATATTGAATATGCCTTTACAAACAACACACTCTCTCCTGACATTTGCTCAGCAAACGGATCTGCATACATGTGCATAAGCAAGCATACACACACCCCATCCCACCAGGGGTTGGGATCATTCAACCCCCTAGAAAATAAGACCCAAGGATGGGGGAGGTGATGAGATCATTTCCTTCTACTCTATTCCAATATTCTTCCCAAACCTGTAGACTGAGTATATGAAAAATGCTATTTGACTTAGGCCATATTTGAAATTAAGTGCTCATTTGTCTCAAGCTGGTAATCACTAACTTCCATCATCATAAAGGTTTTTGTTCTTGTAAATATGTCAAACATGCCCCTTGTCACCATGTTTTACACTCTCATAAAGTTTTAGAATCAGACAGGCCCTTAGAGATCACCTTATGCAAACCCTTCTTTCAACTGATTCAGAATTTTATAACTCAGACAGCAAAGCAACTTGCTAAGATCACACAGTTTACTGTATTTGAACCCAGCTGTCTGGACCCCCAGTTTAGCACAACTTCATGAGCTCACACGACTTCTGAAGTACTGCTTTGTAAGCGCGTTCTCATAATACAGTCTGAGAGATAAACTTAGTTTGCATGATTAAGAATTCCAAATGTGTGGAGCCTGAACCCCTGAGTCTCACTGCACACAGTGAGACTGAATTGAGCATATCTGGGGCACACCCTGCACGTGAAACAGAACAAAACAAAGTAAAAGAACCAATGACAAAAGATGAGTGCATATAACTCAGAGCACGGCACACAGAAAATACTCAACTATAATTTGCATTTTGGGAAGCAAAGAAGAGAAGGGGAGAAGGGGAAGAGAAGGACGAAATGCCTGTTTTCAAAGTTGGTGGCAGCTGGATTCCCACCTGTGCCCTGAGACTTGCAGAATTCCTGTTGGGGAGTGAGCTGCTCTTTGGTTCAGGAAAATATCTTAATAAGTTTCCTTTTCCTTTGCTTTTATTCTATTTTTTGCTTGTAAAAGGTGAATGAGGCCTGACGAGCAAGCTTTGAAACAAAAGGAGTGAGAGAAAGAAAGCGAAATTATTCTGCATAATAAAGTCAGGGGAATGTGGGAGTCCTTTTCTTGGATGCTGGGGGAGGGGAAGTTTTGAGGACATTAAAACTTCCTTTCAGTAAGAAAAATACTAAAACTCTGGGTAGGGGAGTGGATAGAGACCCCATCAGGAGACCAGACCTTAGAAGGATTTACCAGCAATGTGGATGGTTAAGGACCTTATAAGAATAATAGTGTTGGGTTGAGGTGTTTCCTGTACTTTGCTGCAGTCCTTCTCTGATATTCCCCAAACCTCTGTAACAACCACTGCTTGTAAATCCTTAGAGATGCTTTGGGGGGGGGGGAAGGAAAGGGATGACCAATGCAGGATTGGGGAGAAGGTGCAGAGAGAGGGGGCAGCAGTCACTGAGAGGAGGCATTGCCTTGCGGGGGGGGCGGGGGGAGGTGAGAACACCACAGAAGCAGGAATATGGGCAGGAGGAGAATGACCTGGGAGCAAGCAGGAGCGCCAGCAGCCACTGGCAGGGGAGGTGCACCAGCTGCTCTACAGCATGCGGGGTGGGGCTTGAGCCACTTTATCTTCATACTGAAGGAAGGCGTGACTCCAAAGGTAGGAATTTTGAAGACAACTGGGTTATGAAGAGAGAGGGAAAGGGGGTGAGGAGAGAAAGGAGGGGAGAAAGGTATTTGAATCTTTTAGCAGGTGCTTCTCAAGTGTAACGTGCATACAGATCACCTAAGGTTCTGGTTAAAATGCAGGTTCTGACTCAGGAGATCTGGGTGGGGCCTGAGATGCTACATTTCCAGCAAGCTCCCAGGTGATGCTGATGCTGCTGGCCCAGGGGCCACACTTTTAGTAGCAAGGCTTTAGCACCCGAATAAGCCTCTGAGCCTTTCAGGCAGTTTCCCACAGGCTGGTCTCTTACCTCGTACTCCTCCTTGAATCCGTAGCCCTGGCCTCTCTTCATCTGGGTGATGTGCTGCAGCAGGTCAGCCACTCGGATGGCGGGCTGGAATTGGTCCCTGGGATAGCTCATCTCCACGGGGTCGCAGGTCCGGTAGGGGTGAGTCTGGATCGTGAGGGTGGGCTGGGACAGCTCCCCGCGGCTGCCATCTGCTTCAAAGAGAAGGAGGCAGAACAATCACCTATGGGAGCTTTGTCCTTTGTCCTTCGAGCCTTCCCCAGCTTGGCCAGAGCAGGAGGAGGAGGGTAGAGGGAACTAACTGGGGACTCACTGATCAGGAAACCACAGAAAGACCAGAGACACACTGCTCCCCCTGCATGGCTGTGTTGGTAGAATTAAATATTAAAACAGTAAACAAACCAATGAACACCATGACCCTTGGTTCATTTCAATTTCAGTGGTGCATACTGATAGAGTAAAGATGAAGCTCCAGGTTGGTTGTTATCCTCTGCCTGTCTCGGTCCTTCATCCAGGCTTGCCGGGGCAGTCTTGGTCAATCCCAGAACCAGTGAGCAGCCAGAAGGCTAAATATTGGGAGCACCCTCCTGTTTAGGAAATGAGGTGTTTGGGATTAGTCTCTGCAGGAAGCCTCAGGTGAGAAGAGCCTCAGGTGCCTGGAGATCAGAGGCACATGTCTGCTTCTGGTCCATTTGCCTGCATCCCTGTGACCTGGTTTCTCTACTTGTTTGTTTCCTTCGGGTTGTGCACTGGGAGGAATTGGAGCCAGGCTTGGACCCCTCACAGCTAGCAGAGACTCTGACCCTCCCAGCTGCTCTCTCCAGCTATGGACTCGGCAACAGTGACCACTGCCTACTGTCTAGTCTCCCCACCACTTAATACTGCTGATCCAGGAGCGTCACTGAGCCCACCTTGCAGGTGGGGAAGCCTGAGCCTCTTCCTTCAGTCCTGCCAGCTACTTCCCCCAGGCCTGGATGCTGTGCCTCATCTCCTTCATAAAATCTCTCCTTGATATAAGATCTTTATTCTCCCTGATAAGAACCTATATGCCCAGTGAGTTGCTTTTACTGCCTTCTGTTAGTTTGGCCACTCTGGAAACTGCTGCTTCCTCAGATTGGGTTTGAATTCCTCTGGTCCCCTTGGACCCATAAAACTAATGTATTGCCCTACCACTCCCCTGCCAGGCATACATTGTCAGTCTTCCAGGGCAAGTTATCTTCTCCAGAACCATCTTGGGCTTGGTCCCCCCAACCTCCTCCCAAAGACATGGACAGTCTATGTCCTGGACCACTCTGTTTGTGGCATGCACGAGATGAGGAGGGCCAGATCCAATGTGTCTCATCCAGATGTATCAGACACTGTGAGGTACCAGTGCAGATACCCATTAGCCTATGCCAAACTCACCCCTGGGAGGGTTGGCATATTATATTAGTCCTGATCTTCTGCAACTTGTCTTTTCAAAATCCATGTTCCCTTCAGCTTGTTTGACTCTCATGTCACAATAATCCATTAGACAGATTCTGTATGTGACAACATCAGCAAGCCTGTTCCTGGTAAGGAAAGGATAGTGGAAGGAAGCTTCTGGATTACATGTTTTCTAGGGTGATCAGCCTGTGCCAGTTTGCCTGACACTTTTCTGGTTTTAGCACTAAAAATCTAGCACCTTGGGAAACCTCTGAGTCCTGGGCAAATGGGGCTGGTTGGTCATCCCAATGTGAAAGTCTGTGGGTGGTGTGGAGGATACATTTCTCACTTTCCATCCCTCTGCCTGCCCCACCTATTTGTTCCTCCAAGGGAGGAGGGGCTACTAATCTGATTAGTCTGCACTTGAGACATTGGTTGGTTCATACCTAATTAGTGGGTAGGGTCATTGTGTGCACGGTGTGGTCTCTAAAACTCCTGACTCAATGTGGTAAGTAAACATAACTGAGACAGAGCCTACCCCCTGGGACCAGCCCAGTCACCCCTGGATTGCCAACAGAAAGATCTCGAGGATACAGATTTATGTACAAGGAAGAAGGGCCTAGGAGAGGTACTAGCAAAACCTGCCTGACTGTACATAAGAAAAATACTGCTTACTTTTTCTCCTGGGATTTCAGGTAATACGTAGCTACATCTTTGCTGGTCTTGGTTAAATGTAGAGCTTGGCAAATGTGTGGGCTGCTTCCTTTCTTCATCACACCCTTGGGATCATGACTTAGACATATTGGGAGCCCACTCAGTGCCAAGGACTGGTAGGCAGTAGCAATGCATAAAGAAATACAGATTCCACCCTCAAGGCTTCATGGTCCAGTAGGGAAAACATGCAAGAATAACCATCTGAAGCAAAAGAACAGGGCCTCAGTGGTGAAGGCACATTTAGGGAAGGGCGAGGAGGTTGATATGGAGTCAGAGCCATGGGTGGAAATGTCATGGTGGCAAGTCTGTAAGAGGTGACACAAGGAAGATCCAGAAAGGCTGTGAATGTGTAAGATTATTGAAGCCAGTGTGAAGCTGTTGAAGGGTTCTAAGAAGAGTCCCTTAAGACGCACACTTTCTTGCAGGTGTCCCAGCTATCATCACTCCTGTGATGGTGTGGAGGGGTTGGGAATGGAGAGGAAAGGAGCACTTGTGTTTGATCTATAGATGTGGCACTTCATGATTCCAAGGACAGGATCAGTCAATGCCTGGAGCCCTGTGTTTCCCACTTAAACCATTATCACAGGTGGGGACAGCTGTCTTCAGAGACCCAGAGTCTTCCAAAGGACCAGGGGCAGGTGCTGCCTGGCAAAGGTGTCCTAGGAATGTGCACCTGGCAATTTTTGTGAGATGCCAAATGTTTCCAAAACCAAATAGCTATCAATATGGGTATTTTCCCTAAACACATGGCTAGACAGACTGTAAACTTGGTGTCAGCAAAACCAACAGTGAAGTGGAAAATAAATGCATTTGAAATGTAACAACTTGTATTGCTGTAACATTTGTAATAATGTCAATGCCAGCACTAACGTTGCTCTGAAGACCTGGAACCGAGGGATTTTCAAGGTTTATTAATTCAGCTAGTTGGACTCCCTTTTCCAATGCAATCTTACCTCACCTATTCCCTTATTAACCTCCGATAATGCAGAAGTGATGCCTTTTATCACACCCCATTTCACCAGACGCACTATACTTAATTTTCCATCATTAGGTTTAATGAAAACCCAATTTCACAACTCACTTCTCTCAGAACCTACAAGTAATGCTACGTTTTTATCAGTCCCAATTAAAAAACGTTATGATGTTCCTATTCGAGAGGGAGCCTTAAAACTAATGTGCGATTCTGCTGCTAATTCAACAAGGGCTCTGAAATTCACATGCTGCTCATAAAATGTAACTCAAACCAGCTGGCCTGGCCCAGGGAGAGAATATTTTTCATGTTTTCTCCTCACCAGACCCTTCATTTTCATGCCATTTCAACTTCTCATTTGTAAGTCTTGCATGTTTATTTATCACGTAATAATATTTTGGATTTCTTTTGCACTTTTTTGTATAGCTGTTGCCTGAGCTTGTGAATTTCCCCTGGAATAACTCTTGGACTGCCTGTGAGGGGCTTGTGGGGTGGGCAGAGGGATTTGGGTGATGTATGAGGTTTTGGGTTACCACTGTTCCTCTGTCTCTCTGCCAGCTCCTCCTCTTCTTCCTTGGGAACCTGGAACTCATTTGCGCGCTCTCTCTCTGTGGCTTTTGCCATAACTATGTACAGTCTATATCTGCGATGTCCAATAGAACTTTCTACAATGACAGAAATGTTCTACATCTGTGCTCTGTGATAAGGTAACTAACCACATATGGCCACTGAG